CAATAATGAAATGTATGTCTGATAAATGAGGATTTGACTTAAGCATAAGCTTGATGGGGTCTGTACATATAAGAGATTTTTTATTGTTATATTTCAGAAGACAGACTGTAACAATGAATTTAAGTTTTAAACAGACAATTCTCTTTTTAGAACCTTCTTTCACTTTGTCCTGATGGCTCCTTCCCTATCTTACAAGTTATTTCGCTGCGTGAGAAGAACAGTAGGTACGCTATCACCACAGAAGGTACAAAAATTGCGATCAGCATGCAGATTTCACATTCATTGTGTGCCTTGCTTCAAACCTTTGCCTTGAAAGGTCTGGTGACCAATAATGTGAATCATTCATGTGAATCAATAATAGACATCTGCTCTCTAATATAATCCACTACAGCTTATTTGGCAAGGAAAATGATAAATTATCGAACAGTACACATTGTGCTACATGCTAAATGCTAAATAATATGTGTATTTAAATTGTGTGTGTTTGTGTGTGTGTGTGCATGTGTGTAAAATTAAGTCCAAAAACATGTTTTATCTTTAGTTTCTTGGAAGAGCGAATGAGTGAGAGATTGAAAGTGAGTATGTGTGAGGGGGAGATGCTTTATTGAAAAGTATAAACTTTTCAAAATGAAGTATGAAATAATAATCTGTGTGTGGCCTGTGAATGTTGAGAATGCAAACATTTCACAATAAAGTTTAAACAAACGTTAAACACCTCACAAAAAAGAGAAAGAGACAAAAAGACAGGGCACATTGAGTTAATTATGTGTCCTTGTGGAAATAAAAAGTAGCCACTGCTGTGAAAGATTACTTACCTTTAGAATATACCTGTAAATCAGAGAAGATAGTTGTCTAGTATTGAACAAGATTGTCTGTTTGGGGAACAACTGAATTCACATGAAACACGTACAGAATAAGAATGTGCAACTTTTTATGGAGGGATTATGGTGAAAATGTATGAGTTTAACTTGAATTTAAGTATAATATAGACAAATTGGAAACTGTATCAAAATATATAGTTTATTATTCATAAGTCATATGAAATATATACCCTGAAAATAAATTACATATTTTTGATATGAAAACAGACATACTAACATTTTCGTAGCTGGGTGGTCAAGCCCTTTTTAACCTGTTAACATAAAAATAGGTGAACATCTAGTTTAAAGTGCAGGTGTGATTATAATCGGGAATTATCTGGTGGTATGTAGGGCTTATAAAGCTTTTTATTACAATTATTAATTAATATGAGGTTACTAGCCATCGTTTTTAAAGCTAAATTTGAAAAATATAAGACTTGCTTGTGTTGATCTTATTTCTGTATGAAAGTAGACTTTTGCAAAAGGTATGTGTCATATCACAGTTTCCTTTGTTTTAAATGCACTATCCTGCAATATATGTTCATGGTTTGATACCGTAATGGGAAAACGTATCAGTAGCTACCTTTCAAACGCCAGCTTTTCCCTGACTAACTCACAACAACATTTCACATGATGGTAGCTATTTGTTTTCATCCTTATAATTTCCAAAAAGCCTGCAAAATAGACATCAGTGCAAACATGATAGTTGCTCAGAAATGCCAGCTTCCAATGAAATGCCACATCTCTATGAATCTGCAGAGGGAAAGTCCTCTAGATAGTGGACAGACAGCATTTTGGGCTGGAAAACAAAACTTGTTTCTGCATTTAGTTTGTTTTGTAACAGTTTGTTCTCAGTTTGGTGGGTCATATTGTAGCGGTAGATATATGTAGTAGTAGCTATTGTGACTTTTGTTGTTTGCACTTTAAATTGTTTTGGCTATTTTCTGCGATGTTTCACCATGGGAAACAAGCATAGCTTCTTGTACGGAATGACTTTTTTCAGAAAGTTCCTCTTACGCCAGCATATGGGCCAAACTCACACTGAAAACAAGTGCAAAATTGCCTTTTTTGTCGCCAGCTGAAAATGTGTACAAACATCAGGTGAGGCCTTTAACCAATTACATTAAGTCCATCGATCTGACTTTCATCTCCATTTAACATTAACTCTTCTAGGATGCGAGACATATTTGTGTTTTGCAAGGTCAGTGGAGGAATGTGGTTATAATGTATGTTTAGATATGTTTTTGTTCTGAAAGGGATAGTGGGTGATCTACGTTTGAAGACATCTGGATGCAATGAAATGGCATTTAACTAAACAAAGAAGGAATCTCCCAAGCCACCCAAGTGCACATGCATTTTTGCTATTCATCCAGCATTTTCAAATGTAGTATAAGGACAAATATTTTACTGCAGCAACCTTAAGAGTTTCCAGAGAGATCTTTCCAAGGCAGAATTCCACAGAAATGATCTTGCAGTTGCTTTACTTTATAGATAAACATTAATGTCTGCAGTATTAGTGCAACTCTTAGGCATGAATGTCAGAGATGTGTATGTGAGCAGTATGTATTTAATGTCTTGGTAAATCATACTCAAATGAGGGCACTTGAACATTGCTGTCTAAAGATGTGTATATACTGTATATATCCAGATGTAAAATTTGGTTAAAACCCAAATAAGGGCTTTTCTCTCACAATGAACAGATTTGAGGTTGTTGATGAACAAAGCAGCACAGAAACCTACTATGACGTCAGCCTCAGTTAAACTTTATTCGCATTGATGAAATGTAGACAAGGATTTGAACGAGAGAAAAAAAGTGCACACGTTACGGTTTCAGAAGTTTCCATAGTTAAACACTGAAAGATCAATTGTCTGACATTAAGGAAGGACATAACCAGATAACCATCAATATGCTGAATTACCAATCCAATTAAATAAATATCAGATATTTTGGAACATTTTGTTTTTCTTCAGTTTTCGGTTTTTCTGTTTCAGATTTGTGGCTATATGATTCTCCCATTTTCTGTGACAGGCTTGAATGCAGAAGGACAAGAAAACAGACTTGCTCACTATATCTGCAAATAAACAAAAAAAACTGTTTTTTTTGTAATTACAAATTTGCTTTTAAAATGACAATTATACTCAAATACTGAATGCAGAAGAATCCAATGAAGGAACATGCACAACGGAAGATGTAACTACGGTAGATTTATTTACTCCTTGGTAACATTTATACAAATAGTCTTCAAGCCTGAGAATCACACATAGGAACATGCTTTGAATAATAAGCATCGTGAAATCTAATCAGATTTATAATAGGAATTGATTGTTGTGAGGCAGAAGGGGAATGTGAGGGGTTGACAATAAGCTGAAATTTAAGTGTTAATTTTTATGCTAATCTCCTGCCATCTCCACGTGATGCAATTTCTGCGCAGCAAATATGAAATTGCCTTGCTCCCAGAAAATGTCAGCTTGCCATACTCTCCAAGCTTGTAATTCATTAGCTATGTGTCTATTAGCCTGTGACACGGCAAGCTATGAACACTCAACACTGCTTCATACTTGCTCTGTGACTTTCGGACCTTATATATTCCAGCCCAATAGCTGCAGGTTGGTGGGGGCTTTTATGCCTTGTTATATATTTGGTGGTTCTTGCCTTCTGGACAGAGACTATTTAATATAATGTAATGACATTCCTAAGAAGACAAGTGAGGGTGGGAGTGGCAAGACCTTCCAGACTGAAACATAGTAAAACAGCATTTTAGATTTTCATTGTTCCCTCATACAACCATTCTATCATTCTTACCAACAAACACACACACATATATATAATGCCGACACATAGAATGGAAGTGGAATAATAAGGTCCTGTAATTTTTGAAAACCTTTGAACCTCCATGTAAGTGGAAGACTTTCTTTAAGATGGCCTCATCTGCTCTCTCTTTCTCTCTTAGTTTGTTTTAATAACCCATTTTTTTTGTACCTTGGCGTGTGGATCTTCAGAAGCAGTGCCATTGTGAAATGCATCCAAACAACAGAAAACACGAGTTAAAGGTTTGCTTGCAATTCACATATAGGTCAATTAAATGCACCAACATCTGCTCTTGCTTAACAAATAGCACATAGTATTGAAATGTTAATGATGCTTCTTATTCAGGGTCAGAATTCTTCTTCAGCTTTTCTTCTCCCATTATTATCACCACATTTTAATGCATTTTATTTATTTTTAAGATCATTACAGGTTGAAGTATACATGAGTATATGTGTAGGTATGCATTACATATGTACTTATATCTCAGCCAGTAAAGCTGTTCTGTATATATGAGCTTGAATATAATAGTGGAAATGCTTCTTTTGCTGAAGTGGCGTAATGTCTTATAAATCAATAATGACACAGATGGAGCAGGAATAATCTATTTAAAATGTCTAACAGCAAAATTTGCCTTACACATAATTAAAGATTTTACTCTGCACATTTGTTTGTTTGTTTATTTGTTTGTGTGCTATATTGTTGTCCTTTTAGGTAGATGTTTAAGCACTGAGATATGATTTAGCCTAAAAGCACAAATACTGGGGATTTAAGCTTTAAGAATTGGGTTCTTCTGCAGTGACTCTTTTAGGGTATAAACCAAAGGCTATGTAAGATTAACGTTTGCCAATAAAGTTTTAACAATTCATATATATATATATATATATATATATATATATATATATATATTTAAATGGAATTCTGATTGGACGTGTAAATATTCCTGAAGGCTTGATTTTCGTTTGCAGTAGCTGGGCTTGATTTAGCAGCAGGAGGAGTGAGAAAATAAAGTGGAGGCTGTCAGAAGTAGCAGCTACTTGGACGGCTGACAAATATAAGCTCTTATTGATCTGATGAAAATAAAAGATCCCACAGTGCAATGCAGCGTTTAGCTTCTCGTCTGCTGCACAACACTGGTGGCCTTGGTTTTGGGATAGATTTTTCTCTTGCCGCATGGACGAGATTGAATTTCATCTTCAACCTTTTCAGCTGAATTTTCCTTGACCCCTGCGTTTTGCTGTAATTTGCCGCATTTGTTACATTGCACTTGACATCAGGGTCCTGCTCTGCTCCTAACCTCCATCTCTGTCTCTGCCCCATTTATTTTATAACAGGGAAGTGGAAACCACCTTAGACTTCATTCCTTGCCACCCTTAATCATCTGTAGTTCTTGCCTCTGTGTGTTCTAACCTCCCTGGCAGACCTTATACAAGAATGAAGTTAGCGTGTTAAGGTAAGATGCACTCCCTTATTTGCCAACGTTACCTACACCATGACCAGGTCGGTCATTCATTCATTCATGCATCTTCTGTATCACGTGTCCTACACTTAATGTGTTTGATTATTGAATGCTGTAATAGTTACATGTACCAGTAACACAAACGCATCTTCAGTGTTCCTCCTGCTGGCAATACTGGCAACAGGTTTAGATTGTATGTTGTCGTAAAAACAATTTAAAGGTATCTGTTTTGTAATCAAAAATACCAAAGCGAAATACAAAGGATATACAAATGTGAAGCTTAGAAATGTACTTACAGCTTATGAACTCCTTTTAAACATTTCAAAACTCCAGCTGACAGAAGAAAGTAACATACAAATACAAGAACAAACTAGTTTAGTGTTGTTTATGAGAAGACCAGTCTCCACTATAGAAAAATTACACATAATAAAAAGCACAGATGTAATTAAAACATTATAAATGGTGTGTTTTCTGCTTCAATTTAAACACCCATAATATCTATAAATGTATATGTTCTTTCTAAATGGTTGAATCTGAAGTAAATGTTTAGTCTCTTCAGACATGTACAGATATGTTGTTTGGAATGTTATTGAGTATTACAAGACCTGTGTTTACTAGGTAGGAACTTTAGCATCAATAAATGTGCCTCTAAGACTGTATGTGGGTAGATGTGTGTCACAATCACTCAAATCAAGCCCGCTCTCCTTGAGCATATTGTAAACATCTATCGTCAGTGACAACTATCTAGAGGCAAGACCACGACTCTAAGAAATTCCCAGAGCCCCCGGCACATACAAGATCTTATGGCGTCCTATCAAAACTAAGCATTTCTGTTGTTTGAAAAGCGACTGTCAAAAAATCTGTGTGATTGTGTGAACAGTTGGTTCAAGCATTGTGTTTTGTTTTACATTTAGGTCAACTTCTTGCTTTATTTTTTTCCTCTCTTTTTGGTATTTTCGTGAGATAGTAATAGGAAGTTTCTCATCGAGAAAATATGCTATTTTCCCCTCTAAGACTCGCTAGTATCAAAGTCACTTCCATATTAGTGAGGACAATAGACTTTTATCCTTTGTGCTGGGCTCTGCATGCGGCTGCGCTTCCTGAATTAAACTGCTAGTTTCCTGTTCTTCATATGCACGGCCACATCTGGGCATCTTGCTCAGATCCCCGCTCCTTAATAACAATCACCTTCCCTTTCGGTCTCTTCTGATCGTCCCTAATTCACTCTGACAGATAGTGCCTGACAAGCCGGCCGCTCTCCCCTCCCTCCGTGACCCTAACTCAGTCACCAAACTCATATAGCCTGTCATTTTTAATATCCGATTTCGATTTTAAGTTATGTGTATTACCCAGATGATGAAATCAGTGTTTAACTTAATGCAGAATGGATTCTCTCACATTGAGGTCCAAGTGAACTGAGAGAGAGACAGAATGAACTAAGGATATCAGAAGTAAACCCTGTTGGTCTGCCTTTGTTTTCTGTTTTAAATGACATTTTAAACATATGTTAGTGGTGGCTTTCAAAAGTTTCTAATGTGGATACAAAGAGGCGATATTTTTTTATCATTTTATCATTGTCTCTCACTGTGTACTATTAATATATTCCATAAGAAACACACATATTGCTAATGTTACACATCTTAACAGGTATGTGCTTTAGCTTTACTGCAAAGGTGCTTCCTGATTCCAGCTTGGTGAAACTGGAAAAGATGCGAAAGTTTATAACAAACAAAAAGTTTTGCAATTTTCATCAGTAGAGTATTTATAGACGTCATTACATTCAGGGAACAAAGAAATCGTGGTTAAATGGACAGTTGCCATAGTCTGTCTTATTTTTCCATAACAGACTAGTTTAGCTATCCATAAACAGGCAATCTGGTTGGTGGACTTCACGTCTTTTAATCACACCTCTTTTTTGATGATATGCTTTCTAATGGCATTTATAAATATTGAATATAAAAAGTAGACATATATAGTAGATATAAAAGTAAAATAAGAAATGCTAATGTCATACACCAGTTGCAGACCACATAAACAGTTTTGCATGCAGTATTTTTTGGTACCGTAGGGTGTCAAATCCAATTTATCAATCCATATTTCTACATTCCTCTTCCTATGCTACGTTTATAATTCAGCAGAAATATTAACTGCCGGAATGGGGCCCTAACAAACTCATAAATGTCAGTGCACTGTTTATGTTTTGTATTTCTTCTTCTTTTGGTATTAAAACCAATATTGTTTTTCTAGAAATTTTAGATTAGTTTCAGGAAGTAGTTTAGGAATGTATAGATTTTATTCTACTGATAACATGTTGCAGTGAACACTTGCGTTGTCCTGTCCATGTAGTTTATGTAGGATATGTGGTGAAATAATGCAGATAGATAGATAGAAAGATAGATAGAAAGATAGAAAGAACAGAATGCAAACACTTGGTGTGAATTCAGCACAAGGATGTTTCGTGGAAAGACACTGAGAGCATTTCAGAACCCAATTATAAATGAGGCAAACTGAGAAAGATATATTCAACAAAGTGAGGGGGAATTCAGAGAAACATTTATTCCAAAACATTATTGGCATGGAGCGCTGAAATAAACACAAATGCCTGTGCTTAAGAGCAATGCTCTGTCTTTTGTCTTTTCTCATCTTGGTGTAGCTGAGAATATTTATAGTTCTGTACTGCAATGAAAACATGCAAAGCTTTGGAGACAAAGAATGACTGCAGCTTGTGGCAAACTACGTGTGTATTTATTAGTGTTAATACACTAATGTTGTGTATGCGTATGCAGGCTGTATGATTCCTGGTGTTATGCTCATAAAGACAGAAAATGTGTCTGGACCATGGGACAGCTCATTGTAATCTAAATTTATTAGTTAGTGGCTGATGGTTACTATGAAAGTTGAAGGTTTGCCTTTGAATTTTCAGGTCTAACGAAGGCATTCCTTGTTACGTGAAACTCGGTATCGGGTGAAGCATTGCCTGCTGTTCTTGGTTCTAGTATTTATTGTCAGATGAGTTCAGCTTTCAGATACCCTTCCCTGATCTGCCACTCTGGAATGAATCCATTCCAAATGAATTCCGAATGACTGAGGTTTACTGTATGAACATTTTCAGTTTCACAGATAAGCACTAGACAGTAAACTTATACATATCTGTGGCCTGCATTGTACCCTCAGTGCTACTGAAAGGTCTAGATTTGACACATCTCTCTTCCCCCTTTTCAGTGTTATTTCCTTGATTGTTTTTTTGTCAGGGTCTTGGGCCAGACACACAAGCATCTTTTATTTTTAGTCTGTGTCTTTGTTAAAACTTTTTTTTTTAACCCCCCTTTTTTATTTCCAGGGAGAATCCATCAAAGTGCTTTGTCAGGAAAGAAAACAACAGTAGGGCTCTTTATGCTCGACATTCAAGGGGATAAGAATTTTGAGGACACTTGTGTTTTTCATGGCGGGTCTTATGATAGATCACTGGGCCCTCAGTGGGTCTCTGTGAACTTTCTTACTATCCCAGTGGCCGATTGCACCTCCATTGTAGTTCAGTCACCCCCACCTCCTATTTTTGATTGACTTCTTTCCAGATTTGTTTGGGCTTCGGTGATATTTTCGTATATGCTCAACTCGTATATCTCTTTTAAGCATGATTTTGTAAGCTTTATTTCCTGCAAATTTTAAATGCTGCTGGTGTCACATAAATTCTCACATCTAATGCACATTTTTCCTGGTCTGGTCATATAAAGGTTACACCTTAAAAAATGTAGTGATACATTTAAATAAATCTCAGGGTATTGTAAAGCACTGACATGACAACCATCTTTAAAGATGTGAACTTAGTTATTAGTGATTTGTATGCAGTTCATATCCATCGAGGAGTTACCTACGGGTCCGTAGCCAGATTACTAAACTGCACACACTCTAGACGTCTTGTCACTGTCACTGATGTGATGTACAGTTCAGTCTGGCTTTTTTCTGAAGTACTTTAAATATTATATCAAATTTAAGAATGATATAGTAATGTTCATAATGGACTCGGTTCTTTAAAAAAATCCATGATCCGTTTTGAATAAGTCACTGTTCTCACTTTTTTAAAGGCAATAACAGGTAGTCTGTGCATTACAGGGTATGTACTGTGGATGTCTATGTCTCTGATCTCAGTAGCAGTTAAAACGAAAGAGCAGCTTAGATAATGTCGAGCCAATTTACTTTGCAACTTCCATCTTTCTTAGACTAAAATCTTTATTTGATCATGATTCTTCATGTGCATCCACTGGACGTTTATTTCTGCTCATTTCCAGCATTAACGCTGCACAAGGTTGACAAGGTTTTTTGGACTGACCTTTTTTGAAGAGTCTCTGTGCTGGTTAGCTGATGGAGGCAAATGATATAACCTGGACAAAGGGAGTTATCCTGATTTGCTGAGAGACTACTCCGCTTTATAGACGTATAACACTTTGAAGTTTTCTTTGGATAGAGTCCTACAGGTGATCCCAACTTTCTGAAATCATATCAAAAGGTTCTGTAAAGCATTTACACAGACACTAAACTCCACAATACTTGAGCAAAGATGTGGCTAGCTGGTAATTTGTTCTTCTTAAATATGTAATTGATATGAATTGATACGGATACTACATTTTTTATTTAAAATATTTCTGTACTATAATAATGATAACAAATTCCCTGTATCAGAGTAGAAGTTTATACACATGGATATGTATCTTTTCTGAATTTTTATTGCTTTTATTCGTAAATACCTTAGACCATAAAACACCCCTGACCAGTGGTGATGAGTGTTGCATACAATGTTTCAAATTGCGATAACATTTATTTTACTTGAGAAGAAAGAAAAGAAAGAAGAAAAAAAAACTTCAAGCAGAGCTAAAAGAGGAAGCCCACAGGAATGTGTTGTGAACGTGGTGAAAGCCTTTTTGGGACCATGGCTTGGAAGACGTGCTTTTGGGTGTAAAGTACAATGTGCGGAAAATTGTAATAGCTGTTGTCAGTACTGCAACCTGTTTATAATAAGGAAATGGGTGGAGGGAACTTGATGAAATTTTGCTCTGTCCTAGATATAGCCGTTTCCGCCCCATGGGTTTCTTTTATGTGTGTGTGTGTGTGTGTGTGTGTATTTTTTGGGGAGGGGGTGAGGGGTGGGTGGGTATGATAACATAATTTAAAGAAAAAAATTAAAAATGGTAAATCAATGTAAGGTCACATCAGCATCCTGTACAGTGGAAGCCAATGTATACTTTATATTATAAAGCACAGTACTCAGCTATCAAATAATAATTAAACAAAAATGTACATTTAACATGCATGCAATTATTTAAAATAAGCAGTTAGGTAAGAAGATCTGTATTTAAATGAGCATTGGTGTTTGAAGTCTACCACAACTTACAGTATTTACAGTATTTCACACTATTGACATTTAAATGTGATAAGAATAGAAGTCTATATGACAGCCTGTTTTGAAGTTGCTTTCTGAACACGCTGAAATCTTTTTTAGTCTGTAATTAAAAAAGGAACACTGTGGTTTTCCTCTACATTTGATTGTAATGGAAGCTTATAAAAGCTAAAATGGGGGGGGGGGGGGGGCAGTGGGGGCTTGGAAGGAATTAGATCCAAGTGAAGAGCACACCTGGGTGACAGAGATTGAATTTACTGACTGCTGTGCGATCATATTACTGAGCGCAGGGCCAGCTTTCAGAGCAGCTGTAAAAGAGAGGCTCTGTGAAATCAGCATGCAAATAACAGCACATTGTTAACCTAATCAGATGCAGAAGTGAGGGAAGGCGGAAGCGAATACGGGTGGAGGATCTGCAAACAAGCCGCGTGCTGCCAAGAGGGGATGGGATGGGCAGATTAAACCCATCTACCTATGGGGTGTTGTTGGCAGGGTTAGGGTAACGTGTTCTCCCCGGGGTCTGCCGCTAACCTGCCCCTGTAGGTACCCCGGCTTCTGCAAACTCCCGTCAAGTGCCTCCGACGATCAGTTTCTGTGATGGTGGCACCGTGTCGTCAGCCTTGCGGTCGGTGCCCAGGCCTTTCTGACAAGAGATCCCAGCTGTAGGACACTGATGATTTAATACCTTGTATCATAAAAAAGGACAAGGATAGTCTGTGTGTAGCAGATTCAATGAGGCAGGTGCTTTAGTCCTGATTATTATGCCCTGCCTTATAATGTGCTTAATGAGTGTTTTGATGAAATTGGATTCTGGTTTTATGATAAGAATATATTTCCTTTTTTAGTAGCTCCCCCCCTCCCCTTTTTTCACATCAGTAGAGTTTGTATTACATGGATTTAAACACGGACATCTGGCCACTCTTGGTGATTTCATGCCTATTTTTGTATATTTTGTCCTTAATATACATATTTAGATGCAAATCAAATGTATGCCAGGAGAAAGAGAAGCGAGAATGAATGAGTCCCCGAAGAACTACTGAATATTGTTAGCAGTGAAGGAACAGTCCTGAAAAAGGTTATTGCCTATAAAGCAATCCTTATGGAGAGAACTGTGAGTGAAATATGCCTTACTCAGAGAACATGTTAAAAATGTTTGTCTATTAGATAAATAGTAATATATAAATGCATAGAGATTACATTCACCTTGCACTAAATTATACATGGAGTAAAACTTTTTCTGCATTATAGTAATACTTTGTATAATTTCTAATTGGTTTAAGGATATGCGTTATCCCAAAAGATGCAAGAAGCCATTTCCAGGGAATCCGTGTCACAATTTACAGCAGAACACTTCATAAATATCTCTCCATTAACCCAACTAATAAACTCTTCACTTTATCTCAATATAAAATCAAATTCAGTTAAAATAATCCTGTGTAGAAGCTTCGGAGGGAGGTCATGGAACGAGTACATAAATCTGGAGGTTCTGGACTAAACACAGTGCATCATATTTATTATGAAAGCCGTATATTGTGACGGATTTTCATCGATGCACACTGTGCTGGTCTACGCAAATGCTGGAATGCTTTGCTCTAGTTGCACTTCTCAGAAGGCATCCAATCCTAGGAGAGAAAGCCACCCCATTTCCGATATAATTCAATAAATAAACATTTACAGAAACTCCCTTAAGTCCCCCACCCATTCTCCTGGGAGCAGCTCTCCAGTTAGATTTCCTCATTTCAATTAGTCCATAATAAATGTACTCTGCTCTTATTAAGGAGTCTGTTTTCCTCCTTTCACATTTAAGCGTGAAACTTGACTATAATTGCCAACTTTCAACCACATTATGATCAAAAGAGAAATATCACGTTTCCTTACTTCCACTAAGAGCTGAAAACAGTTGTGGTGAAGCAAATAAACACATTGTAGCATCTGCTAAGAACTGAGAGCATTTCCTGGCTGCTTTGATAAGACTGGTTAGTTGCTTAAACAGGATGCGTGAGGTATTTAAACTTCTGTTTGAACATACAGTACAGTTACATTGCATAATTGCCATGACTGAATAGCTTTCAGAGTTTAAAAGTTTCCCCACATTATCTTGCAACTTCATCATAGTGATGGAATGAAGATTTTTAAGATCCTAGAATTAAAAGGGTCTGCGGTACATCAATATTTAAAGAGTCCATTAACTATGGCATAATTAATATAGATTCAAAAGCATATGGCTTCCTACCTGTTTATTGTCTGTTCTTTTATTCTCATTGAAGAAAAATCGTCGAATGTCATAAGGATAAAATAAAGGCCGAATGAAATATAATTAGAAGATTTGCTTTCTATAAAGAGTATTAATAATTTTTCATGTTTCGTTGGAATTTTGAATCTTGAAGTTGAAGTCTTGGGAGAGCAAAAGAGCCAGAGGTGTATGACTTCTGTTTTACTTGCTTGTTAGTGTTTGAAATCAGTAGCACAGTTTTTGTAAATTAATGTATAAAACATTTAGCCGATTCAAGTTAGATTTTTAGTTAGCTACTTCAATAATATTGTAATTAGCTACCACCTTTAATGTTGTGTCCCTGAAAATAAACACTTATTTAGTAATTCCATAAATATTGTTATTGTGTGGTAATCTATGCTGATGCATTAGATGTGCAATTCTATACTCATGTAATAATTATATTTTATATTTCAGTTATATAAAAATATTCTGGGGTTTGGTGTTTGATCTAGGAATAAGTAACAGATCACAGTCTGGCTTAAATCTTACACTGCATAGCTCTGTTACCTACATACTTACATAGACTTATAAATATTTAATTGCAATTAAAATTTGTCAATAATTTATGGTCAATAAGTGCCTAAAATTGCAAAGCAAGTGTAACTAATAGATTTCCTTTTATGTTCCATTATTTTAGGTGACACCTTTTATTCATATATTTATTATGTGTATGCATGATAAAACCACGTCTCCAGAGAAACAAGAAAAGTATAGTATGTCTTTAATAAGGCTATACTTTTATCAGTACCACAGTTCAATATTGGAATGGTGGCAAGAAATTAACCAAAAGCACAATATTATATTTAAATGTCTTATGGTAGTAGTCTTTTTTTAAGTATTATACTAACAAATTGTATATGGCATTTACAAGTATAAACCATGTAGGCAGTATGACTTTGAATTGTCTATGACAGTATACAGTACAACACTTACAATACATCCATTTAGTAAATTCCTGGAATTCCTCTGAATGCTCACAAGAATCTGTACACATTTCGAACGCTTGTTATAACAGGAACACTGGTAGCTTAGCTCTTAAGTTTAAGCCATTTAAGGAGAGCGGGACAAAGTCTCGGTACACAGTATTCTCCAGAATGCAGGCATCTCAATGTCGGTACTCTCTCAAGCTAAAACCACAAAAAAAGTCAAACAACATGATTTTCAGCATACCTCTGCTGAAGGTACAGTTGTGTTCAGTTACATGTGGTTCAGAAAATGCCTCCTTTTTGTACTGGTTTTGAGATTTTGCAAAGATTTTATCAATTGGACAAACAGTAGTTTTAGATTGTGCAATAGCAGTGACGTATAAGAACGGTACTCCCCCTGTACTCATCAGTTAATGTTCGGTTAAACATTGCAATGGAAGATTTGATTTAGTCTGTGTTCAAATTAACTGTTTGTTATTCGAAAAACTATGTGTAAATGGCAAAACGTTATATTTTTTCTAATATTGGTAAGATTTAATATCTACTAACTGATTCTGCTCCTTAAATAATGTGGGGTGGGGAATCAATCAGCTGACATTGTATGATATTAGTTCAGAACTTGAAATTGAAAAGCTCAATCAATAAAGCAATCGATCAGTCAATCAATAACTCAATCAGGATCTTCAGGGTAGTTATTCAACTGAAAGTACGATAGGGTGTGTTTGTGTGCAGCATATTAGAAAACAGTTTTATTTATTGAACAATCGTTTTAGTTACTTTTGATGCAATTTCTGCAAAATATGTTGTTTGAAATGCAAATTGCATTATTTCTATAGTTTTTTATCTTCTTAATACTACTCCACCTCATTGACAGATGAAAGTCTGTGGAGGGATATGTTACACTGAATAATGAACCAAAAATACTATTTCACTCTATCAAGATAAGTGCATCTATCTACTCAAGTAGCCCCTTTTGCTTTAAGTGCTGCTGGTAATATTATAATTGTGTATCAGCAGTTTCATGACAATAGAATCTCGCCTTCATAACATACAATCGGAGTAAATATTATGAGGTGGAGGCGGTGTTAAACTTATCTAATTATCTTTTCAGGTTTTTTTTTCCCCCACAATTCATGTTCAGTTTCTCTTCACGGTTAAACGTACGCTATGTGACCAGTAATTGCTTTACTACACAGTGTTGTGGAAGTGTATCTGGTCCCCAGTTAGCACTTTGTGTTTATTCTTTTCGCTTAGGATGGAGGAATCTAGCCTGTGCCTTGGTGTGTCTTCGGCGATTCCGGAAGCTGACGGCCATCTCAAAAACGCCGCTCTCAATGGCCGCTATCCCATTAGCCAGAAGATGCACCAGCTGACCACTCAGCTGGGCCATGCATTCCCTGACTTCCCCAAGAGACAGCAGATCCCAGAGGAAAAAGCAGCCACCCCATTGGATGAGAAAAGCCGCACGGCTCTCCCCGGCCAGCACATCAACAGTCAAATGGCACTGCTAGCCAACCAGCTCAACAGGGACATTGATGCAAGTAGCTTGGGTTTGAATGGAAGAGTGGATCTCCAACAGTTCCTGAATGGGCAGAACATAGGCATCATATCCCAGATGAATGACATTGAGGAGGATGCCCGCAAGAACAGGAAGTACCCGTGTCCTCTGTGTGGAAAGAGATTCCGCTTCAATAGCATATTATCGCTGCACATGCGCACTCATACTGGGGAGAAACCTTTCAAGTGCCCTTACTGTGACCACAGGGCTGCACAGAAGGGCAACCTGAAGATTCATCTCCGCACACATAAGCTGGGGAATCTTGGAAAGGGCCGTGGCCGAGTGCGTGAGGAGAACCGGCTTTTGCACGAGCTGGAAGAGAGGGCCATCTTGAGGGACAAACACCTGAAAAAGGGTCAAATGCAGCCCCAGACAGATATAAAGCCTGTAACTCCGGCTGTCTCACATCAGCAGCTGCCTGTGCAGTTCCAGTATCAACCACCCAATTCTGATTGCAGTCACCCTGCACCAAGCAGTCTGCTCTCTGCTGAAAGCCTGTCACAACCATCACCGTCCCCTAAGCCAGCCAACTCTCATGATGAGCAGGTCGCCCCGACCACGGGCTTCCGCTGCACCTTTTGCAAAGGGAAGTTCAAGAAGCGAGAGGAGTTGGACCGGCACATCCGCATCCTACACAAACCCTACAAGTGCACCCTTTGCGAGTATGCCGCTTCGCAGGAGGAAGATCTCATCAGCCACGTGGAGAAGGCCCACATTACTGCTGAGTCTGCCCAGGGGCAAGGGTTAAGTAACAACGGGGAGAAGACCACTAACGAGTTTCGCTGTGACGTTTGCGGTCAGGTATTCAGCCAAGCCTGGTTTCTAAAGGGCCACATGAGGAAGCACAAGGACTCTTTCGAGCATTGCTGTCAGATCTGTGGTAGGCGTTTTAAGGAGCCATGGTTCCTGAAGAACCACATGAAGGTCCACCTGAACAAATTGACAATCAAGAGCAAGCCGCCCAGCGACTCCGAGATGTCCATCAACATGAACAACACCTCTCAAGATGCTCATGCCAACCTTTACTCTCGATACATCTCCTGCTTGCAGAGTGGTTTCCTCTCGGCTGAAAAAATGAACTTGTCTGATCAACACCAGATGCTGACTAAAGCAGGTGTGGCAGTGAAGGAGAAGGAAATGCTGGGAAAGCTGTTGGCTCCTGTAGCAGGTCTAAGCCATGGATTGACTGAGGGGGAAAAACAGTCTTTGTTTAGCTGCCTAAATATGGTACCCCCTCTAAAATCTAGCTGCATGGAGCGCTTACAGGCAGCGGCAAAGGTGGTAGAGATGGATCACCTCAACAGCTACCAGGCATGGCAGATCATGGCCCGAGGTATGGCTATGGATCGGCTGTACGCGCCCCAAGATCAGCAGTGTGTGCCACGTAGCCAGGATGAAGAGCTGACGAAGGGCACCATGGCCTTTTCAAAAGAGAAGCACAACTATCCATTAATTGGCTCTGAGGGCTCCAAGCAGTCGTCACATTTGGAGGCAATTCACAGAGCCAAGGGTGGTAGCATAGCCTCCTGCAAGGATGATGGTGCCTTTGACGGTCACAGAGAGTTTGTGTCCCATGCCAGCTTGGGTCAGACCCTCGAGTACAGTCTGGTTAACCTGAAGGAGAAACCTAGTGAGTGTGCCGACTGCGGTCGGGTTTTCAGAACTTACCACCAGATGGCGGTCCATTCTCGGGTGCACAGCAAGGAGCGTCGGCATGCAGACGAGGGGATCCAGCAGAGCGTGGGCCTGGACGAGCGCCGTGGCTCCGCCAGTGACCCGGAGTCTCAGTCCATCAGCAGGTCCACCACCCCAGGCTCATCTAACGTCACAGAGGAGAGTGGAACTGGCGGGGGCATCTCCCAGACCGGCAGCGCTCAGGAAGACAGCCCACGTCCCTCCTCACCATCCTCAGGTAGACAGTCAAGCATTTTCCCATTTACCGTTTTTCACAGGCATTATGATTCCAATATTTAATAAATGTTCTGAATGAGATTCAGTAGACATCAACGTCCTAATAAATTTTCCATTTTTATCTTAGAGATATTTAGTTCCAATATATGCTGATTTTTTTTCTATATTAAAACATAAAAGGCTAAAATGCTTTCCCATTCATACAGGCATGTGATTTAAAGTCAATCTATCAAATATAAAAGCTTTTAGGTTTGATAATCATTTTTGGAAAGTGAGCATTAACAAACAAATGCGTGCATGAGTCTGGCAGAGGCTCTAGATAGCGAATTGTAGAGGCTGCTCTCTGTTGTCTTCAACACTGACATCAGGTCGCAGTCAAATCCTCAGCTTGCTTTAGCCCTAAACACCCCTTTTGTCTCAGTTACTTCTTGGAGAGCCTGCTGGTTGAGCCGGCTGTTTCTCTATCTGCATTTAAACCACCGGTTTGGATTAGCTCCCCACCCCCCTCTATGACCGTCACCTGCTACACGACGACACATGCCACAACTTTGGGGCCGGACGAGCTCACGTGTCCTCGCATGGCTTTGCAAAGCAGAGCCCAGCAAATTTACACCACAGACTAAATAGGCAACCTACAGCATTTTTAATATTGAGCATTTAGCATCAAAAGGCAGGCTGTTTACAATACGGAAGTAACATTTAGCGATATTATGAATGTTTCAAATTTTTTATAAGTGATCTTATATTAAAGTGAATTTTTATATATTTTAGAAAGGGTGCATTTCATTTGATGAATGCCATCATTTCCTCTGCAGTTTATGCCATCTTTTCTGCGGTCTGTGAATGCAAGTCAGACCTACAGTATGTGAAGATCTGTACCGTTTTCTTAATGTACTTGTCCTGTGAATGTGACTTAATTTCAGAAAACAAGAGCCTCTCCAAATGATGGTATAAGTGAATTTATAATGAAACCTAAAGGAGGATCTTAGGAACCCGCTTATGATGAATGCCCATTGTTACATGATGAAATAATGTGTAAAGAAGAATCTGAAGGCGAAGAACTGTTTAAACAATGCTTTTTGTTCATTTTCAAGCAGCAACAGTCATGACAGAGATGTGTGACAGGGCAAAGGGTTTGGGACATGAAGGACTCAGACATGCTGCGGGGGGTGGGGGTGGGGGGGTTGGGGTTCGTAACAGCAGCTTGTCATGCCGGCAAAAGGCTGCCTGAATTACTGAGTGCATGAAAATAACACCAGCGAACCAGAAAATGTTGTGCTGTGAGGACCTGATTGACTGCTGAGAAGCCCAATTCAAGATCAACTGCTGGAAACTGGACCTCTGACTTCAGAGAAAGAGCTTCCTGTCACCGTTTTAAAAATGGGAACGTCACTGAAACCCCCCAAGACACCCCATGCTCCTGGCTCCAAACTTAATGCTTTTATTTTCCTTGCACTGAATCCTCCATGTCTAAATATATTTAAAAGGAGCAGTGTTTTTTCAACATGGCAGTGATTAGTCATACATCCCTAGATCTTTACAGCTGTAAGACACAGAAAGGCAAAATAGTCACTCCATACAAATTGAAATTGGATTTGCTTTCTGATGGCTTACGTTTTAAGACATGGGTGTACGTCTAATTACATAATTACAATGTGGGTAATTATTAGTACAGACTGCCCTTACTCTCTGATAGCTAGTTAAAAAAAGAGAATGACCACAGATACATAATAATTTCTTTTCCCACACAGAACAGTATGAAAGGTATGAAAAAGCAACATTGTATATAGTATTGCTCATGTGAATGCTCATTCACAGCTTAAGTCTTAATATAAATACAAGACCGTTGACTATATAAATATTGAGTTGCTAGGTAAACATCTTTCTATTTGATTAAAAGAGACATGCAGTCCTCATACTATGCAGGTTAAAATCAGATTTACATTTATTATGTACTGGCTTATCATGTTTTGTAGCAGTGTTTTGAAATTAGGGCAATCTTCATCTTTGTATTTCCCTTGCTAATTAGCGGGGGACAACTATATAGGACTTTTTTTTCTTTCTACACAGTTGTCCTCTACTGTTGTAAAGTCTGAAAACCCGCCTTCACTCTGTTGTGAAGTTATTATGTTGAAGATATGCCAGTTGGAAAATTCCTCTTTAGTACAAGACTGCATAAAAGGCTTTAGGTCAATATTTTTTCTTTAAAATTCTTAAGCTTCCATCTGTTTGTTGAGTATATTAATATACAGGCATGGGATGCAAATAGAATGTATATGTGTAACACCACCAAACTTTGTCTTACAGCTTATTTAACCACAAAATACTAAAAGGGGCACGTACGATGTGGCTTTTCATGCTCATATTTCAATATTTTAAATCTAAAACGTTATATATTTAAGATGTTAAGGAAGACCGTATGTGTCCTTATGAGCCAGTTCCCAAATCCTTTGATAAAACATGTCACAGTTGGACTCCGATATTTAGCACTCTGTCTAATGCCTTAATGACTATATTTAGATTTCCTGTTTATTATGTATGAAAGGCACAAACGCTTAGTGTTGCGTGTTTCGCTGGTGAAACACTTGCAGTTTACTTTCACATTTTAAAATACACGCATTCGCCAAAACATTGCTCGCCTTCCTCCTGGATAAGTATCCGCACAACTGCCACACATTTTTTTCCCCTCCTCATGTCTATTTTATGTTTTCATAGTTGCAACATAATATTTATCTTTCCGTAACAGAAGGCTGCCTCACTGAGATGGAGAGGCCATCTGAATATTTATATTTAAAAGCAGAAATATAAAATGTCTTTTGTTGTAGGAAAGAGCAGCATTCCTGAAATGGATGCATCTCTGTCTTGATCCCTAAATACAGGGATTTAAAAAACAATTTATGGAATCAGTAATTGAAAGTGATGAAATACATTGGGGGGTGGGCTGTGGGGGGATGTTAAGATTAGGGACATTTTTGCATGTATCTTTTGCAGTTGACACTTAATGAGGGAACAGCCTGCTAATTATACGGTTTTCTTTTCCTGTATATCGCACGGCATGTAGGTAAGCTGATTCTCCTCCATTGTGACGTCTGCCAATTGGTGATGTAGATTAGAAAGTGTGTTAGAGGCTCTTTTAAGGCAAAGCTATGAAATGCATTGACCTTTGCCTTATTCATGGGAAATATCACACACAGTGCTCTTTCTCTTCCTCTCTTTCCTTCTCTTTTGCTCACTCTCTCTCTCACATGCACACAGATGTATACAGGCGGTCGGGGGTTGGAACACTCTCAAATAAACGCATTGCTCATAGGAAAGTTGAGATGACATTTACAGATTCTGAAGTTTAATTCAAGCACAAATGTGCAGAATTTATTTTGTTTTTGGGAGCAGACCTCCTAAAAGCCTTTTCTGTCACAGGTCTGCATGTTTTGTTTTTCTTCTGTACTTTTAATCTGCTGCAGTAATCATATAATCGCATACAGGGGGGTCGAAATGAAGAAAAATGTGTAAGGATTAAGATCTCCATTTTTTTTGCCTGCACATTCCAATTGTTCTTAAAATATTTGGCAATGTCAATTAGTAAGTGAGCAGAGCTAGCTGATGAACGCAATTTTCCACTAGACTGAGCACCCTATTGTAGTGGAGCGAGCGGCAGATTTCTGGGGTCATTATTATTCTCCGTTAGCCTGGGCCAGCTGCTCCTCGCGGCTCCAGCCAAACTTTACACCACGACTCAGGCTAGCAGACAGCAACAGGGGGCTGAGAGAACAGGAGTGACAAACTGGCTCTCTGTTCACTGAGAAGACAGAGAAGGATAGGGATGGAGTATATATATATCTATATATATATATATATATATATATATATATATATATATATATATACACACTCATACATACACACTGAAGTAGAAAAACATAATCATGCTACTTAGACATAATTAGTCATATAGTGGATTCGAGTGGGATTAATATACTGTGTGGAGGTCATGGTGATGGACGGGATGCTAGGGTAAACATATTTTATTGGTAGATCTTTATGTGTTATTATTTAATGTTGTCTTTTAGCCTTTTGTTGTGAGGTGATTGTTTCAGAGCGAGCGAGAGAGAGAGAGAGAGAGAGAGAGAGAGTGAGCGCAGCAGCATCACTCTGCAGTGTAACCGCACGTTAGGGTTCAGTAGTTCTAATGCCCACGATGACCCGTGATGTGTTTTGTTTTTCTTTTTTGACTCTAACTTGGGGCTGTGCAAATGCAGCTTACACTTGACTTGCTGGGGGAATTGACAGAGTGTGCAGAGTCTCATTCATTTGCTCACCTCATCTATGAACGATGAGATATTGCTGCTTGGCTGGGAAGTCCACAAATTACGGTTAAAACATGAATAAACTATTGTTGTTATTTACACATATATAGGGTCTAATGAAAATAAACAGCCAAAATGTGCTTCGGTAATGAAAGTAAGTGGGCTATGGACCCCCAAGAGAACCAGTAGTGAGGTGCCCTCACTTAGTCACCCTAACCATGTGCACCTGTAGCGAGGTTTGTGGAGGGGGGGGGTATTTCCTCTTCCCAACACATGGTCACAGCACTGGACCTCTACCTTTCTGAGGAAGATTACTGTCTCCCCTTTCTGCTGAAACAGTTAATCCATATTATAAAAAGTGTGCTATTCTTCAGTCTTGTGTAATAAACAGGTAGGGCTAAACTGCTCTTAAACCGACGGCACATATAGGTCTTGGTCGCAGCTGATTTAATGGCTTCTTGTGAGCCCGTATAGACGTGTAAATAAATGATGAGCGCTCATTTTCTTGGAGTAAAAATTCTCACTTATTCCGACCAGCTGTGCGTGTTAATGTGCTCCCAGAAGCCCAGAACTCCCACAGCAAGTCCTCCGCGCATACAAAAGCTATACGCCTGGTCCCCACTGTCCACCTGTGGAAAGTTTGCGTTCGCTCCGAGCAGCATCAAAGAGCCGCTTGCAGCTCGCAGCTGCCAAGCGT